AGCTTCACCCCCTTCCTCCTCTCTGGGGCAGCCCCTCCAATATTGGAACTCTGTTATCCTGTCTCCCCTTTTCCTTCTCTTCACTAGACCAGCCATGTCTTCTGTCCATCTATGGTTCATTCAGATGTCTTTCTTTCTTTCTTTTCTTTTCTTTCTTTCCTTTCTTTCTTTCTTTCTCTCTCTCTTTTTTTTCCCCCTCCCTTCCACCTTCCTTCCCTCCCTCCCTCCCTCCCTCCCTTCCTTCCTTTTGCTTTGGAAAACAGCTTGACCCCCTTCCTCCTCTCTGGGGCAGCCCCTCCCTCAAATATTTGAAGATGCTCTCCTGTCTCCCCTGGTCCTTCTCTTCACTAGACTAGCCATGTCTTCTGTCCATCTATGGTTCATTCAGATGTCTTTCTTTTCTTTTCTTTTCTTTTCTTTTCTTTTCTTTTCTTTTCTTTTCTTTTCTTTTCTTTTCTTTTTTTTCTTTTCTTTTCTTTTCTTTCTTTCCTTTCTTTCTTTCTTTCTTTCTCTCTCTCTCTCTCTCTCTCTTTCTTTCCCTCCCTTCCACCTTCCTTCCCTCCCTCCCTCCCTCCCTCCCTCCCTCCTTCCTTCCTTCCTTTTGCTTTGGAGAATAGCTTGACCCCCTTCCTCCTCTCTGGGGCAGCCCCTCAAATATTGGAAGATGCTCTCCTGTCTCCCCTGGTCCTTCTCTTCACTAGACTAGCCATGTCTTCTGTCCATCTATGGTTCATTCAGATGTCCTTTCTTTTCTTTTCTTTTCTTTTCTTTTCTTTTCTTTTCTTTTCTTTTCTTTTCTTTTCTTTTCTTTTCTTTCTTTCCTTTCTTTCTTTCTTTCTTTCTCTCTCTCTCTCTCTCTCTCTTTTTTCCCTCCCTTCCACCTTCCTTCCCTCCCTCCCTCCCTCCCTCCCTTCCTTCCTTTTGCTTTGGAAAACAGCTTGACCCCCTTCCTCCTCTCTGGGGCAGCCCCTCAAATATTGGAAGATGCTCTCCTGTCTCCCCTGGTCCTTCTCTGCACTAGACTAGCCATGATGCCCAGTTCCTGCAACCGTTCGTCGTATGTTTTAGCCTCCAGTCCCCTCATCATCCTGGTTGCTGTTCTGTGCACTCTTTCTAGAGTCCCAACATCTTTTTTGCATTCTGGTGGCCAAAACTGGACACCATACTCGAAAGGTGGCCTCCCCAAGGCCTTATAAAGCGGTGGTTCTCCCTTCTTGACCCCAACATCTTAAGTCACCCAAATTGCGAACACGTCCTGGGTCCAGCATCCCAGCCCCGTCTTCTCAGAAGTGTTGACTTGAGCCTGGAAGGACACCAAGGCGTCCGAATGAGGTCAGGGAACACCGTCCAGATCTCGGTGTCTCCTCGCTGAAGGTCAGCGTGTTTCGTGAGGCACGATGTGGCGTGTGGATATGTCATTTATTTATTTTTTATTTATTTTATCGGACTTATATATAATTCCCGGCCCTTCGGCTTATAAGAGTTGCGATGTCACCGGTGGTGAGTCACCGTGCTTAACTTGGACACCCGAGCACAAAACAGAAGAAAAAAAACTCCGAGCAGCTGCTGACGTTACGAAGTAGTAGTGACACCATCCTTCTTCTTGGGGCTCCTATGAAGTCCTGGCCTTCAGCCTGAGTCACAGCAGGACTGGAAAACTACTCCGGCTGCCAAAATTAGGTGTTTTGTTTTGTTTTGTTTTTAAAAAATCTATTTTTCACATGGCCTTATCCTCCAGAGGTGTTGAAAAAGAGGGATTTTGCTCACTCGGGCTCTCCGAGCACTGTTGAGCGATGGGCTTATGCAGCTGTGTGTGCTCAACCCCTGAGGACCTTTGGAGACTCATCTACATGCAGGTGGGACATGCAGAAAAGATCTGATGGGGGTGGGGGGGAAATCGATGCTCTTCAGAAGGCGATTGCCATTGTCAGTGGAACGACTTGCCACCAGAAGTTGTGGGTTCTCTGTCACTGGAGGTTTTTAAGAAGAGACTGGACAGTCACTTGTCTGAAATGATATAGGACAGTGATGGAGTGGGGGGACTGGGGGGGTCGTGCGCCTACGTGCCCACACCCATAATTCTATGCCCCCTGCGCATATGCGTGCAACCCCCCCCTCCCTCCCCGCTCCTGGCACATGATGGCCCGGTAGGTCCTTTTTACTCTCTCACTTGGCTCCAGAGCCTTCCTAGGAGCCTGGGGAGGGCCTTCCCCACCCACTCGGAGGTCCTCCAGAGGCCAGAAGTGGCCTGTTTGCCAACTTCCGGTTGGACCAGAAGGCCTGTTTTTTTGCTGTCCCCAGCCTCCAGAGCCTCTCTAGGAGTCTGGGGAGGGTGAAAAACAGCCTTCCCCACCCCTCCGGAGGAGGAAAACGGCCCATTTGCCAACTTCCTAGAGAGGCTCTGGAGGCCGGGGACAGCAAAAAACGGGCCTTCCCCATCCCCCACCCTCCCTCCGAGGCCCTCCGGAGACAGGAAACAGCCTGTTTCGCGCCGGAGCTGAACTCGCGTGCCCACTGATAGGGCTACACGTGGCACCTGTGCCATAGGTTCGCCATCACGGATATAAGGTCACCTGCTTGAGTAGAGGGCTGGACTAGAAGACCTCCAAGGTCCCTTCCAACTCTATTCTGAATTGAAACCTATTCTCCAAGGGAGAACAAGAAGCAATGGCTGGAAATTAATGAAGGAGAGAAGCAACTTAGAACTAAGGAGAAACTTCCTAACACTGAGAATGATAAACCAGGGGAACAGCCTGCCACCAGAGGCTGTACGGGTGCTCCATCATTGGAGGCTTTTTAAGAAGAGACTTGACAGTCACTTATCTGGAATGGTGTGGGGCCTCCTGCTTGAGCAGGGGGTTGGACTAGAAGACCTCTGAGGTCCCTTCCAATTCTGTTTTTCTGTTGTTTGTGTCCTAATGTGGTACTTTTTCACACTAAATCTTAGTCCTTCATGCCGTGCGCTCACCATTACAGATAGTCAAGGACCACAACTGTGCCCCAAATTCCTGTTGCTAAGTGAGGCATTTGTTAAGTGAGGTTCGCCCCATTTTACGGCCTTTCTTGCCACGGTTCTTAAGTGAATCACGGCAGTGGTTAAGTTAGTAACCCGGTTGTTAAGTGAATCCGCCTTCCCCCATTGACTTGGCTGCTCAGAAGGTCGCAAAAAGGGATCACTTGACCCCGGGACATTGCAAGCGTCATAAGTATGAGTCCATCGCCAAGCGTCTGAATTTTAATCGCGCTACCATGGGGATGCTGCAACGGTCGTAAGTGAGAAAAACGGTCCTAAGTCTTACCTTTTTTCAGTGCCGTCGCAATTTCAAATGGCCACTAAATGAGCTATGGTTAAGTTGAGGACTATTGTAGTCCTCGACTTAAGACCATAGCCAGGACCGGTGTCATTTTCAAGTGCCATTGTAACTTGTTTCAACGAACGGTTGTAAGTTGAGGACTCCCTGCAGCAGGTTTCCTAGGAATGGGGTGCCCTATTTTGGATATTATAAGTAGAGTGTTGCACCCAGATTTCCACTGCTTCTGCAGCCATAACCCTTAATGAATTGATTGATTGATTGATTGATTGATTGATTGGTTCGATTTATATGCTGCCCTTTTCCGGAGACTCGGGGCAGCTTACAATGTGTTAAGCAATATCCTTCATACTTTTTATATATACTGTACCTGCTTAGTAGGGTTTTTGGGCCCCCCCAAGCGGTGTTCTTTTTTATACAAAGTCAGCTTATTGCCCCCACAATCCGGGTCCTCATTTTACCTACCTCGGAAGGATGGAAGGCTGAGTCCACCTTGAGCCTGGCGAGATTTGAACTTACAGTAATTGCAGACAGCTGGTGTTATTTAACAGCGCTTTAGTCTGCTGCGCCACCAAGGCTCTAAGTTGTCCCAAAAGGTGCTTATTTTATTTTATTTTATTTTATTATTTTATTTTATTTTATTTATTTTATTTTATTTTATTTTATTTTATTTTATTTTATTTTATTTTATTTTATTTTATTTTATTTTATTTTATTTTATTTTATTTTATTTTATTTTATTTTATTTTATTATTTTATTTTATTTTATTTTATTTTATTTTATTTTATTTTATTTTATTTTATTTTATTTTATTTTATTTTATTTTATTTTATTTTTTTATTTCTATACCGCCCTTCTCCCGAAGGACTCAGGGCAGTGAACAGCCACAAGATAAAACACATAAATACAAAAATTTAAAATAAATTTTCAGGAGGCAACTGGACTTTCTGTTTTTTTTTTTTTTCTTTTGAAGATGTTTCACTTCTCATCCAAGAAGCTTCTTCGGCTCTGACCGGATGGTGGGGAAGGAGAAGGATTTACATTCCTTGCAGACAGCGGGTCGTTTGCATCCTTTCAGAGGGTCATTGAGGCCACTTGGAGGTTTGTCTGTCCTCAGGGTCACCTGAGTTGTGTACCTGTAGTCTGCAATTTCTTCCTCTGGAAATCTATTCCTACGGATTGGATTTCCAGAGGATTCAGGTGTGGGAGTAGGAATGGATTTCCAGAGGATTTCCAGAGACTACAGGAAGCATTTGCACCACTCAGGTGGCCCTGAGGACACAGAGAAACCCCCAAGTGGCCTCAAAGACCCTCTAAAACAGTGTTTCTCAACCTTGGTAGCTTGAAGATGGGTGGACTTCAACTCCCAGAATCCCCCAGCCAGCGCTGCTGGCTGGGGGATTCTGGGAGTTGAAGTCCACCCATCTTCAAGCTTCCAAGGTTGAGAAACACTGCTCTAAAAGGATGCCAATGACCAGCTATCTACAAGGTGTATAAATCCTTCCCTTCCCCACCATTTGGTCAGAGCCGAAGAAGCTTCTTGGATGAGAAGGGAAACGTCTTCAAAGAAAAAAACCCAGAAAACACAGTTGCCCCTTGGGAAAAAAGCATCTCCGTGACCTGGACGACGGAGAATCTCTACCGACCTTCCTGAGTTATTAACCCACCTTAATTTTCTTTCCTGACAGTCTTCGATCAGCGAGAGCCTCCAGAAGGAATCCCTAAAAAAGCAAGCCATGAAACAAGTAAGTGGACGTGGTTATTTTGCGCCTCTGGTGCCCCTGTGCCTGGATAACGATGGTCCTCGACTTTACGACCGCAGTCGGGGTCTGTATTGTCCGTTGCTAAGTGAAGAAGGATGTTAAGGGAGTCGCGCCCGACCGTTAAGATGATTTTTTTTTGTGGCTGCGCCTGTTCAGCGAATCACAGTGGTCGTTAAATGAATCACTTGGTCATTAAGTGAATCCCACATGAATTTGCTTGTGGGAAGGTCGCAAATGGTGAGGACGTTGCTGCCACCATTATAAATTCATGCCGGCTGCCAAGCAGTTTAATTTTAATCACACTTTATTCATCACGGACTTAACTTTCAGCAGTCACTTAACGGACGGTTGTAAGTCGAGGACTAGCCGTATCCCGTCTGTTTTACTGTACAGTCGGGGTACACAGCAGGGGACCCCGTAAGGCAAGAGGCATTCTGGGTGAGACCCAAAACCGGCTTGGTTCAGCATTTCCTTCTCGCAGGCAGGGTCAAAAAAGTCAAGATGGCCACCTTCGGCTTTTGGGGAATCTTCCTTCCTCTGTGGATACTCCTTGGAGTAACTGAGCTGGTTCTCTTTCCAGCAGGAGACGTCTGCCTTGAATCCTGAAGACTAGTAACCCTTCTGGAGGTAGTCCTCAACTCACGGCCATAATTCGAGCCCAAAATTTATGTCGCTAAGTGAGACCATTGCGAAGTGATTTTTTTTGGGGGGGGGTGTCCCGTTTTACAACCAATCTTGCCACTGCTGTTAAGTGAATCCCTGAAGTTGTTAAGTTAGTAACCTGGTCGTTAAAGTGAATCTGGCCTCCGCATCGACTTTTCTTGTCAGAGGGTCACCAGAGGGGATTTCCTGCCCCCCCCCCAGGACATTCACTGCGACCGTCATAAATACGAGTCCGTTGCCAAGACTCTGAATTTTGATCACGTAAAGGTGGGGATGCTGCAGCGGTCGTAAGTGTGAAAAGGGGGTCCTACGTCATTTTTTTTCAGTGCCGCTGTAACTTCAAACGGTCACTAAATGAACGGTCGTAAGTCGAGGACCACCTGTGCTCTGATCTGGGTGAACTGGGTGATAAACGAAATTATTTCAACTAATTTTTGAAAGCATGTTTCAACATGGCTTCATGCACGGCTGGCTGGGGAATAACGGAATAAGAGAGTTGGAAGGAACCCTGGAGGTCATCTAACCCAACCCTCACCTCCCACCCAAGCAGGAGACCCTACACCATTCCTGACAGAGGGCAGCCCAGTCGCACCTTGAAAGCCTCCAGGGATGAAGCTCCCACAACTTCCAAAGGCAACTTCTGTTCCATGGATTGTTCTTCACTGTCAGAAAACTTCTCCTTATTTCCAGGTTGAATCTCTCCTTGTTCAGTTTCCATCCATTGTTCCTTGTCTGGCCTTTGGGTGCCTTGGAGAATAGCCTGACCCCCTTCCTCCTCTCTGGGGCAGCCCCTCCAATATTGGAAGATGCTCTCCTGTCTCCCCTGGTCCTTCTCTTCACCAGACTAGCCATGATGCCCACTTCCTGCAACCGTTCTTCTTCATATGTTTGAGCCTCCAGTCCCCTCATCATCCTGGTTGCTCTTCTCTGCACTCTTTCCAGAGTCTCAACATCTTTTTTACAGAATGACAGAGTTGGAAGGGATCTTGTAGGTCATCTAGTCCAACCCCACCCACCCACCCAAGCAAGAGACCCTACTACACCATTTCTGGCCAATGGCAGTCCATTGTTCTTGAAAGCCTCCAGTGATGAAGCTCCCACAACTTCTGAGGGCAACTTCTGTTCCATGGGTTGATTGTTTTCACTGTCAGAAAAATTCTCCTTATTTCCAGGTTGAATCTCTCCTTGGTCAGTTTCCATCCATTGTTCCTTCTCTGGCCTTCGGGTGCCTTGGAGAATAGCTTGACCCCCTTCCTCCTCTCTGGGGCAGCCCCTCAAATATTGGAAGATGCTCTCCTGTCTCCCCTGGTCCTTCTCTTCACTAGACTAGCCAGGCCCAGTTCCTGCAACCGTTCATCGCATGTTTTAGTCTCCGGTCCCTTAATTGTCCTTTTTGCTCTTTTCTGCACTTTTTCTAGAGTCTCCACATCTTTTTTATAGTGTGGGGACCAAAACTGGACGCAGTACTCTAGGTGTGGCCTTACTAAGGCTTTACAGAGTGGTATTAGTACCTCCCTTGATCTAGATTGTATCTCTCTGTTCATGCAATTTAGGATTGCATGGGCTTTTTTGGCTGCCGCCACACACGGCTGGCTCATATTTAGTTGGTTGTCTACTAAGACTCCAAGATCCCTCTCACAGTCACTGCTATTAAGCCTGGTTTCACCCAGTTTATACGTGTACTTTTGGTTTTTCTTGCTTAAGTGTAAGTAAGTAAAGCAAGACTTTACTTTTCTCTACACTGAATTTCATTTTGTTACAGTCGTGCCCAAAATTGTGGAAAACCTTTTGGGAAAAGTGCATTTTTGAGGTTTGATGGCTAATAACACCACTTTTTTTTTTTTTTTTGGAGTTTCAAGATTATCCTATTCCACTGCTGGAATGGCCTGGGAATAGCCCAGACCTTCTTAACCCAATTGGAAATCTATGGATTTTCCAACTAAAGAAACTTGTTAGTCAGAAGCGACCCAGCAATAAAACCCAGTTAATAGAAGCCATCATTCCATCTCGGTTTCACATTAGAAAAGCTGCAGAACTCAAAGACTTGGTTCCCTCCATGGGAAGACGTTGTAAGGCCGTCATTCATGCTAAAAGTTACCCAACGAAGGATTAACTGACATGGGGATCATTTTTGTACATCTCATTTTCTCTACGTGTTTCACTTTTCTTCTTTATGCTACAACTGCTATTCTCATAGCACATCCTTCATAAAAGTTATGGCATTATATTCTTGATTAAATTACCTTTCCACGGATATATAATTTTACGGTACTACTCCCAAAACAAACGGATGTTATTAGCTAGTTTCAGAAAATACACTTTTCCCAAAAGGTTTCCACAATTTTGGCTACTGCTGTAGATCGGGCCCAGGGTTCAAGTCTCTCAAGATCCATCTGGGAATTCTGGGAGTTGAAGTCCCCCAAGGTTGGACCCCATTAGTTTAAAGTAAACCAATGTTTCAAGATTAATGGAAGCGTTTACTCCTATTTCTCCTTTCATCACAGCCCTTTTTTATGACTTAAGAACTTATCAGTCAGCCAAATGTGTAAATAGGCAGAATGTGAATTCATTATCGGACTATTTCACATGATTTATGGTCCAAGGTTTTACACAATCGTCCTTCTTGGCACCGGATCTGGAACTGGCTGTCTTAACTCCGTAAAATATATATATATATATACATAATAATACATTTTTAGTTTCCATGACTTTCTTTGTTTGACGGATGGTTCTACTTTTATACACGTCTGTTTTTCCCCTTGGCTTCTTTTGGCAGTGCCCGAGTTGTTACGGGAGAAATAAGCTTTGGGAAGTTACGGATTGCCATGGATCCTCCTCGCAGTTTACACCACATTGCAAAAGGCAGAGACTTAATTTAGCAGCCGGCTGAAGAGAGGAAAATACTTTCTAGGATAGCCAGAGAAGCCAGTCTCTTCCCCTGCCTGAATTTCGTGGTGCAAAATACAATATGAAAAAAAAGACAGGGGTACTAAAAACACAGGAAGTCCTCCACTTACGACCACAGCCCCCAAATTTCCATCGCTAAGCGAGACGTGTATTAAGTGAGTTTTGCCCCTTTTTAGAACCTTTCTTGCCCCGGTTGCTAAGTGAATCACTGCAGTTGTTAAGTCAGTCACACGGTTGTTAAGTGAATCCAGCTTCCCTCATGGACTTGGCGTGTCAAAAGGTCGCAAAAGGGGATCATGTGACCCCAGGGACACTGCGCCCGTCATAAATAGGAGTCATCCAAATTTTGATCGCCATGGGGATGCTGCAACGGTTGTAAGTGTGAAAACCGGTCCTAAGTCCCTTTTTTTCACTGCCGTCGTAACTTTGAATGGTCACTAAATGAACTGTTGTAAGTCGAGGACTACCTGTATTGGAAGGCTAAAAATATAGGAAAGCGCTTTAAAAAGTGGCGTTTGCTTGCAGCTAAGTTACTCAGTACAGTTCAGTCCTCGCCTTACAACCAGAATCGAGACCAGAATTTTCGGTTGTTAAGTGAGTCATGTCTGATGTTACGATCTTTTTCCCATGGTTGTTAAGCAAATCTCTGCACTTATTAAGGGAAGCAAGATTGCTCCGGGTCTTACGAAAGGCTACGATTTCAGTGTCTGAGATCACGTTTATTTACTTATTCCATGGATTACATTATATGCCACCCACCTCACCTTATGAAACGCTGCGTTTTCACTGCCTTGAGATCATACTTTATTCATTTTATTTATTTCGTTAAATTTATACGGCGCCCATCTCACCCCTTGTAAAATGCTGTGTTTTCGGTGTCTTGAGATATTGATTACATTATATGCCACATATCTCACCTTATAAAATGCCGTTTTTAATGTCAGAGATTATATTTGTCTGTCTCTCTGTATCTATCTATGTCTCTGTCTGCCTGTCCGTCCGTCCGTCCGTCCGTCCGTCCATCCATCTATCTATCTATCTACCTACCTACCTATCAGTATCTATGTATCTGTATCTATCTATCTATCTATCTATCTATCTATCTATCTATCTATCTATCTATCTATCTATCATCTATCTATCTATCTATCTATCTATCTATCTATCTATCTATCTATCTATCTATCTAATCAATCTACCTACCTACCTACCTACCTGTATCTATGTATCTGTATCTATCTATCTATCTATCTATCTATCTATCTATCTATCTATCTATCTATCTATCATCTATCTATCTATCATCTATCTATCTATCTATCTATCTATCTATCTATCTATCTATCTATCTATCTATCTAATCAATCTACCTACCTACCTACCTACCTGTATCTATGTATCTATCTATCTGTCTATCTATCTATCTATCTATCTATCTATCTATCTATCTATCTATCTATCATCTATCTATCTATCTATCATCTATCTATCTATCTATCTATCTATCTATCTATCTATCTAATCAATCTACCTACCTACCTACCTACCTGTATCTATGTATCTGTATCTATCTATCTATCTATCTATCTATCTATCTATCTATCTATCTATCTATCTATCTATCTATCTATCATCTATCTATCTATCTATCATCTATCTATCTATCTATCTATCTAATCAATCTACCTACCTACCTGTATCTATGTATCTATCTGTCTGTCTATCTATCTATCTATCTATCTATCTATCTATCTATCTATCTATCTATCTATCCATCCATCCATCCATCCATCCATCCATCTATCTACCAGTATCTATGTATCTATATCTATCTATCTATCTATCTATCTATCTATCTATCTATCTATCTATCTATCTATCTATCTATCTACCTACCTCCCTACCTACCTACCTACCTACCTGTATCTATCCATCCATCCATCCATCCATCCACCCATCCACTTACCTTCCTCTATCTATCTATCTATCTATCTATCTGTAACAGAGTTGGAAGGGACCTTGGAGGTCATCTAGTCCAACCCCCTGCTCACGCAGGAGACCTGTACTAGGGATTCGAACCGCCAAACTGCCAACCTTTCTGATCGACAAGCTCAGTGTCTTAGCCACTGAGCCACCTAGTCAGGCTCTATCTATCGATCGATCGTCTATCTATCTATCTATCTATCTATCTATCTATCTATCTATCTATCTTCTATCTGTCTGTCTGCCTGTCTACCATCTGTCTGTCTATGCCATCCATGTCCTCTTATAAAATGCTGCTTTTTCAATGTCTTGAGCTCATATTTACTTATTTTCTTCTCCATTAAATTTATTAAATTGACATGCTCCCCCCCACCACCACCTCCCTATCGAGAGACCCCGGCCGGCTGTATTTTAGACCTGCCTACTAGAAGACACTAATGAGCCCACCCCACCCCCTGTTCTCCTCCCCTGCTTTGCTCCAAAGACCAAGCTGGAGATCCAGAGGGCCCTGGCCGAAGACTCCACCGTCTATGAATACGACACCATTTACGAGGACATCCAGCAGAAGAAGGCGGAGACCCAGGCCAGCTCGCTTGCGGAAAAAGCCGAGAAAAAGGTCCGTACCTGGCCAGAGGGGGGGGAACCCTGCCTGGCCTTGGTCCCTCTGGGCCACAGCGCTTGGGGAGCAGAGAGCCACATCTGGGGCTGGAGGGGTGTGTGTGAGAAAGCAGAGGGGGGCAGAAAAGGGTGGTACGGGTATCCTCAATCATCATGGAGGCCAAAATTTTTGCTGCCAATTTTTCTTAAGTGAACTGCCCCCCTATTTTACGACATTTCTTGCCGTATTCGTTAAGCGAATCACTGCGGTGGGCAGAAATTAGCCTGCATTACAGGCAGACCGTTGACTTAACGACGACAGCGGAGTCCAAAATTTCTGTTGCTAAGTGAAACGTCGGTTCAGTAAAATTTTGCCCCATCTTAGGTTTCTTGCTACAGTCGTTAAACGAATCGCTGCCGTTGTTAAATTAGTCACAACAGTTGTTCAGTGAATCCAGCTCTCCCTGCCTCCCCCCCCATTGACTTGGCTGGTCGCAAAAGGGGGTCATGTCACCCTGGAAATGCTGCAATGGTCATAAGTGTGAAAAACGGACATAAGTCACTTTTGTGGAGTGCCATTGTAACTTTGAACAGTCCCTCGTAAATCGAGGACTACCAGTAATAAGGGCCCTGAGCCACCTGTAAAGCAGTGTTTCTCAACCTTGGAAGCTTGAAGATTGGTGGACTTCAACTCCCAGAATCCCCCACCCAGGTGACTTTGGGCCAATCACCAGGAGACGGTGAGTTCTAGTCCCGCCTTAGGCATGAAAGCCAGCTGGGTGACTTTGGGCCAATCACCAGGAGAGAGTGAGTTCTAGTCCCGCCTTAGGCATGAAAGCCAGCTGGGTGACTTTGGGCCAATCACCAGGAGAGAGTGAGTTCTAGTCCCGCCTTAGGCATGAAAGCCAGCTGGGTGACTTTGGGCCAATCACCAGGAGAGAGTGAGTTCTAGTCCCGCCTTAGGCATGCAAGCCAGCTGGGTGACTTTGGGCCAATCACCAGGAGAGGGTGAGTTCTAGTCCCGCCTTAGGCATGAAAGCCAGCTGGGTGACTTTGGGCCAATCACCAGGAGAGGGTGAGTTCTAGTCCCGCCTTAGGCATGAAAGCCGGCTGGGTGACTTTGGGCCAATCACCAGGAGACGGGGAGTTCTAGTCCCGCCTTAGGCATGAAAGCCGGCTGGGTGACTTTGGGCCAATCACCAGGAGAGAGTGAGTTCTAGTCCTGCCTTAGGCATGAAAGCCAGCTGGTGACTTTGGGCCAATCACCAGGAGATGGTGAGTTCTAGTCCCGCCTTAGGCATGAAAGCCAGCTGGGTGACTTTGGGCCAATCACCAGGAGAGAGTGAGTTCTAGTCCCGCCTTAGGCATGAAAGCCAGCTGGGTGACTTTGGGCCAATCACCAGGAGAGGGTGAGTTCTAGTCCCGCCTTAGGCATGAAAGCCGGCTGGGTGACTTTGGGCCAATCACCAGGAGAGGGTGAGTTCTAGTCCCGCCTTAGGCATGCAAGCCAGCTGGGTGACTTTGAGCCAATCACCAGGAGAGGGTGAGTTCTAGTCCCGCCTTAGGCATGAAAACCAGCTGAGTGACTTTGGGCCAATCACCAGGAGACAGTGAGTTCTAGTCCCGCCTTAGCCATGAAAGCCAGCTGGGTGATTGGAGCCAATCCCTCTCTCCCTCATCCCAACCCACCTCACAGGGTTGTTGTAGGGAAAAGAGGAAGGTGGGCTGGATACGTTCACCTCTTTAGTTACTCGTCCAAATGATCCATCCTGAAAAAAAGCAACCAATCCGCTTTGGCCCCCTTCCTCTTCCTCCCTCCCAGCCCAAATACATCCAGAACATCCTGCAGGCGGCTGAGCTGCGGAAGAAGGAGCAGGAGCGCCGGATGGAGAAGAAGATCCAGAAGGAGCGCGAGGCCGAAGGGGACGCCTTCCAGGACAAGGAGGCCTTCGTGACCTCCGCCTACAAGAAGAAGCTGCAGGAGAGGGCCGAAGAGGAGGAGAGGGAGAAGAAGGAGGCCGCCATTGAAGGTGAGCGGGCGGGGTGGGGGGCTCTCCCATCGGGGGGGTGTAGGGGGGGTGTCCAGCTGCAGACCCCCCGGGGGCCAAAGCAAGAATCATCTTGCAGGACATGGCAGCCGCTCAAATGCCTGGTTTGCAGGCAGTCCTCGAGTTACGACCATAAGCAAACCTGGCAGTTAGTCCTCAACTTACAACCATTGCCGAGCCTGGCAATTAGTCCTCGAGTTACGACCATAATGGACTCGATTGCTGCACGTCCTCTACCCACGACCATAAGCCTGTCAGTTGCTGGTAGTCCTTGATATAACGACCATAATCGAGCCTGACAAATACTGCTAGTGCTCAACTTATGACCATCATCGAGCCTGGCAGTGACTGGTAGTCCTTGACTTAACGACCATAACGGAGTTCAAACTTTCCGCTTGCGACGCAAGGCAGCTAAGTGAGTTTTGCTGCGTTTTACGGCCTTTCTTGCCACCGTCGTTAAGTGAATCACTACAGTTACGTTAGACGCACGGTTGTTAAGTGAATCCAGCTTCCCCCCATTGACTTGGCTTGTCGGAAGGGACTCTGGGACACCGCAATTGTCATAAATAGGAGTCAATAGCCAAGCGTTTGAATTTTGATCCTGTGACAGTGGGGATGCCGCATCTGTCATTAAGTGTGAAAAACGGGCGTAAGTCACTTTTTTTCCATGACGTAACTTCAAATGGCCACTAAAGGGATGCTTGTACGTCGAGAACTAGCTGTATTTTTATACAGCTTTTAATTTTTTTTAAATTCGATGGTATGGGCAAGTAGAGACGATCAAGACTTCGTAATACATTAATACATTACTTTACATTTCATTATTATTCAAATTTATTTGCCGCCCGTCTTGCTTTAATTCACCATTAGGTAGCATTGCTTAATGGGTCCAACAGATTAACAGAGTTGGAAGGGGCCTCGGAGGTCATCTAGTCCAACCCCCCACCCAAACAGGAGACCCTACACCGTTTCTGACAGAGGGCAGTCCAGTCTCTTCTTGGAAGCCTCCAGGGATGAAGCTCCCATAATTTCTAATTTTTTTTTATTTTTATTTCTCATAAACACATTTACATGTACAGTCATTTCCATCATTTTTCATTCATCTTTTCTTTTAACTTTCATTTTTCATTTTTACTTTTTCGGGACTGCTCTTTTACCCTTTACCTTTACTCCAACCTTTCTTCTTCTCCTCCCCTTCTCTTCCTTCCTTTCTCTTCTCCTACTTCCTTTGTTCTTTCTCTCCTTCTCTTTCCTACTTCCCCTTCTCTTCCCCCACTCCTCTCTTCTTCCCCCTTCTACCCTTCTCCTCTGCTCCTCTTTCCCCTCCCTTTTCTTCCTCTCCTTTTCCCTTTCTCCTCTTCTCTCCTCTCTTCTCCCTTCCTCTCTCTCAAGCTCCAACAACTTCCGAAGGCAACTTCTCTTCCATGGGTTGATTGTTCTCACTGTCAGAAAATTCCTCCTTATTTCCAGGTTGAATCTCTCCTTGGTCAGTTTCCATCCATGATTCCTTGCCTGGCCTTCGGGTGCCTTGGAAAATAGCTTTTTTTATTTATTTATTTTAAAATTTGATTTATATGCCGCCCTTCTCCGGAGACTCAGGGCAGCTTACAATGCGCTAAGCAATAGCCTTCATACTTTTGTATATTTATTCAAAGTCAGCTTATTGCCCCCACAAACTGGGTCCTCATTTCACCTACCTTAGAAAGGATGGAAGGCTGAGTCAACTT